AGTATGCAACCTATCTACATGGGACAACCGCTGATAAGGCTACAGAGAACGGCTCGGACTACTTAGTCTGAAGCTGGAGGAGTGCACAGATAAGCAGGCGTGTCAACCCATCTCCGGGAGGTTCCGCGCTCCTAAGCACTGACATGACCACATGGAAAAGTTGAGCTTCGTCTCTGGCTGCCTAGAATAGATGAATATGCTCTATGCTCACACTCCAATCATATCCAAAGTCTAAGGCGATGCAGTTTCCGCCTAAAGGCCATTCAAAATTGCCGCCGTTGCACATTTTATACGGCCGGAAGATCTTCACTGGGACACCGGTGCATTGAAAGATATCGTTAACCCCCTCACTTGACAATCGAGTACGTAAACCACTAGTCTAGCATACAGTGGTTTATCACGAATCCTGGAGACAAGTTGTACAAGCAGGGATAGTTTCATCCGTCCATTCGAATTATGGGGAGTACTTACTAGATACGGTAACCGCATCGATGTGGACCCGTCTAAACGAGTAAGTTCTTGATTGGCCACATAGGAGGTTTAGATTGAGCGTTGCGGGGAGATAAGGAGTATTGATTCGTCAGGTTTTGGCATTCTGGCAAGGGTCTTCCTTGCCCTTTTTTCCATGCGTTCTTAGGAAAACCTTGGGATGGAGTCCATCTCAATAACAAGGGTAGAATAGCAAGTCTACAACTACATAGGCATAACTGAGAAGGTTCCTGCAAGCAAGTGGACTGCAAATCTCACCTGTCAGTTATTTAATCACACTTTTGATACTTTTTGAGAAGCTTATTCTTAATCTCAGATCGTTGGATACAGATCAAGTTCCAACCTTCCAAAGTTCCAAGGTCTTGATTGCCTAGGTAATCCCCACTTCTGAGCCAGCCAGGCGCGGCAGCACCAAACAAGAGTGAGATGCCGGTCAGAGTGGGCGGGTTACTAGTAACCAACCCATCATGGGTGTGCACTGATACCTACCTTAGTCAAATTTAGATTGATAAATCAGAGAAAAGGAGAAGTCGCCAAACTACCTAACTTCCAGGCCCGTGGCTGAAGTCTCACTCACATGATTGAGGCTTGCTGTCTCTTTGGTCCGTCCGTAATGGGCAGGACTTCTCCTCCAAGATGACCTGCTAACGGAGAAGCCAACCAATTGGATTTTTTCCGTCATTGTGCGTCGAATTGAACTCAAAAGTTCTTTCTGGGCGCTTGAAACCGAAGCATCCAGGAACGTCCGGAGTCTGACTAATTTCTTTACTCGATCCATTCTTCGAATACTGATCCAAAATCATATTTCGTCATGCCATATTTGGCGTAAGGATCAAGGCGTTCTCATTGAGTTGAATTGCGTGTGGTTCCTTCTTGAGCCACGCTTGCTTGTCCACTATCAGTACGAATACATTGGTCGAGATATGGGGTTCGACCTGACTGACCCGAGCTCATCGTCAGCGGCCTCTATCAATTCTTGTATCTGGTGGTCTCTTTTCCTCGTACCTGTCGCTACAGTTTCTGGTGGTCTGACCTGATCTCTACCTCCTGGTACATCCACGGCGGTGAATTCAGGGGACAATGTCAGCTAGCTCCGACGTGATGCCCACGGATGGAGGTCATTCGCAGCAAACGGCCCCGTCGCAGCAATTGAATCGTTCCTGCGAATCATGCAGAGGCCTCAAGGTTCGTTGTATTCCCGATACAACCACAGCGAACCAATGCCAGCGGTGCACAAAGACCGGAAGGGTCTGTATCTTTATCGCACCCCAAAGGCGGCGGCCACGAAAGCGAACTGATTCCAGAGTTGCTCAATTGGAGAGGGAAATGCGGCAGATGCGTTCACTATTGAAGGACCGTTTGCATGCGGACGACAGCAGTGGAGAAAGCGTGGATAGCGAGCACGACGAATCGCCGGAACATGATTCGGGCATCGAATCCAAAGATCACCTATCTTCAATTCCCGAGGCACCCAGCAGTGTCTCAACGTCAACCAGGTATACGGACCAGTCACATGGCGGTGTTCCACTGTCTTCATATCCCACCGTTGTCGAGAGCAGCTCGGTCTCGATCCCCTCCTTCACCCCTGGGTTCAGCGGATACTCCCCTGAAATGCCTATAGGAGATGACGTTATCGACCGGGGTGTGATTCCCTTGGAATATGCCAATGAACTGGTGGCATTCTTCATCAGAGATTTAATGGCCTTCGCTCCCGTTGTCGTGCTGTCTCCTGAGACTACCGCATCGCACCTGCGTCATTCTAAGCCCGTACTCTTTCTTTCCATCATTGCCGCTGCCGCTATTGCCGTGGATGCAACCGTCGCGGCCGTTCTTAATCGAGAGCTCGTTCGGCTCTATGCTGAACGATTCTTCATTCAGGGCGAGAAATCCTTAGAGCTAGTCCAGGCATTGGTGCTCATGACGGTCTTCTACTACCCGCCCGACTCGCCAATGAAATTGCAGCACTTTCAGTACACGCACATTGCAGCTACCATGGCTTTGGAAATTGGTTTGGCCTCTAAGCGTAGAGTATCTCCAAAAGCAAGCGGGAAGAAAGACAAGCGGAATGCGTATGACGAGCAGATGGCGGAACAAGCGAGAGCGATATTGGAGTGTTATCATTTGGCTTCTACGTAAGGATGGAGAAGCGCCCGGCGGAGAGGCAAGCTGCTGATCATTTGAAACAGTGTCGCAATGAAGACTCGTCGACCCAATCTGCTCTTGTTCAACGATTGGATGAGCGAATGCGTGAAACACCTAGAAAAATCGCCAAATGCTATAGATCGACATATGGCCACCTGGTTCGAACTCCAAAGAGTCGTTGATGAGGCCATGGCTTCCTTCGGCCTCGATGATACAAGTTCCACCGCGCCGTTGACAGAATCTCGCGTTCAGGCTGTATTGAGGTGGTTTGACAATCGAATGCTGAATTGGAAGAAGAATACACCAGCGGACATGCTCACAGGTGCGCTTTCCTCCTGGCAATGACTTGGAAGTAGCTAGCTCACTGTTGTCCCCTTCAGTGCCAATGACCTTCGAGTACCATTACACCAATCTTGCCGTATATGAACTGGCAATCGGAGAAGGTTACCGAGATCCAGATGCGATCAAGCAGGAATATTACACGCTTCCGAGGCCGGAAGGTGACCGCCGAGATCAACGCGCCAGTAACCCTCTCAGTGCCATCCGCGTAGATATAACGATCAAGTGGATGCATACAGCTCACGAGATGCTCAATTTCTTCCTCAGTTGCGACAATGAACTCATACGAAAGCTTCCGAACTTGACATACACACGTGTGGGCGTGGCGTTGATGTCTCTTCTGAAGATATACTTCACCGTAATATCAGGCGGTTTGGGAGAATTTGTGACGCCGGAGTCCGTCAAGGTTGAAATGTACCTGGACGCAATCGCAAGGAGACTCGCCGAGGCGAGCGGTGGCCAGAAGTACAAGATCCCCAGCCGATGGTATTATGTTCTTGCCGTCAAAGCTCGAAACTGGTATGATCGGTTGCAGCAGCGGCAAGCCCAGCGGGAAAGTGGCTTTGCGTCTCAAATGGAGGCGGGCCAATCGATTCAGATGCAAATGCCAGCCCATACTCTTCAGCACCCCTGTCCCATAAACCCAAACTGTTCTACAGAGTCACTCGTCGCGGATGCAGGCATCCCGCAAGGTCCTCCATATTCCAACATAGGTGGTGCCTATGAAGCTCCAGTGGCCATAAACCAAATGTGGCATGTCGACCAAAATTATGCGCCCACATCTCTCAGCTACCAGTATCCGGAATATCAGCCGCCCATTCTGCAATCTCAGTATGGATACGTGGCACAGCATCCAAGCTTACCTTCAGAAAGCAACCAAAATCAACCGCCATTACATCGTAGCACGGGGATGGAATTGGACGGCTGGCTTCCAGATGGGAGTATATTTGGGGCACCCACTTTACCTGGATTTTGATAATTCAATTGCATTCTTCCGGTCTGAACTCTGCCATGCAATGCGTGTCACGTCAAGTCAAAGGGCGTTTTGTCGTCGCTGTCCTGATCGACGCCATCCATACCTCTTGTTAGCCGTCTCATGGAAAGACCACGACTGTCCATATAGTTATTTATGACGGAGTCATCACTCCACCGACCCTCATAGAAGGGAATCCAGACAACCGTTTTCCAGAAAAGGAGAAACAAAGACTAGCAGAACGTAGGCAGACTAAGGTAGATATTGAATAAAAACCCTACGCCGGCGTTCGGTACGGAAAAGTATTCCATCTCAGTCGACCCTCACGGAGCATCGGTGAACTCGGAACCTCCGGTATGGAGTTGTATCCGACTTGGGCGTGTCATAGAACACCCACACCTGAATATCTGCGGTAAGAGACCAGCAAATCATTATTGAGACCCATTCAAAACATCATGGAGCTGCCAGCCGTCATTGGGTCCTCTTGCGCATGAAGCGAAATTAGACCCTTCGGACTTTGGAATGGTGCCGACTTTGGAGTATAGCGCCCCTCGCTTAGATTCTTAGGGGGCCTGTGGGTGCCATTGAAGTTGTCAGAGCATCCAGATTGGCGGACTGATTTATTCCATCTATCTCCAGTGCTCCCGGCAATATATTCGACTCCGAAGTAGAAGAGGCCTGTGCAGAATATATTAGAGGCTTAGTGGTTGTTGCGTTGAGGGTTTGGAATCTCGTTGTATACTCTGCTCTCTTAGTCCGTATCAATAACGGCCCAGCAGTGCGGATTAGCATAGCAGGATAAATAGCGGTCGAAGCCAAATGCACTGATCTGATTAGATATGCTTTGATCAATTGATCCATGATTACTGCATGGTGTTGTATTCTTGCTATCTGATTTTCTCTTATGACGTGTAATGGCGTAAACTCTCACTACCTTTCGCCGCTCTCTCATCACGATGCCAAAGATATCGACAATGTAGTCTACATATATACCTCTCGAGAGGTACTGATATAAGCATCGCACAAATACGCTGAATATTTCACGAAGAGATCAAATATGTCTGATCTATCGCGCAAAGAACCCTCTACGCGTGAGTTTCCCCTCCTATATCCAAGGACAACCACTAAGCGGTCTCGTCCCCAGAGGCTCTCCTAGACAAAGCCAGGCGCCAGAACGATAGCATCAACGAGGCCCTCAATGACCCCGAGCAGAACACGACTGGCGCACAGTTTGACAAGAGCAAATATCCCTCTGAGGCGGTGTTTGATAAGGGTAGCACGACCAAAGTGGCGGTCGATGTTCCTCCTACGGGAAGGATGTGAGTTCACTTCTTGATCTTTTCGGATTTGCTAGCGCAAGATCGATTGGGCTTTGTGGTAAAGCAGTTGCTGATTGATGCTGTATCAGGGTGGATAAGACAAGGGATCCTGCTGGGGTTCGGTGATTAGCTATTCTGGTTAGTTGGTCGTAAGGTCTTCATGTGCTCAATTATTCCACCTTGTTTCGATATATGACTGGGTACTTTGAATTCGATCTTGATGTCTGTGGTAGTCGAACTTCGACAGATAACCTGCATACTCTGCAGTGATGGTACAGGTAGTCAGAGGCAGCTCGGCAGTAGCTTCAACTAGTGGTCTCCTTAGAATTATAATAATCTCTTGCTCTTGCATGTCAAGCTGGGGAACCTATCTGCGTCAGCAGAATTATTCTCCCAGGATGGAGAAAGCAAGCCTGCAATATCAGTTGTGATCAGACCAATGTCTCATATTGTGAAGCGCATCGAGCAGTTGACTTTTTTTTCAGAGCAAAAATGATTGGAGAATCATATTTCCTGTCTGCAAGGTGCTTTTTAAAGATGGCGTACCAATTAAAAAAAATTCAATCTCTGTGAAGCTCTTCAATACTGAGCGGGCAGTTATCTATGTAGTAACTTCACTGACCGATGGAGTCTGTTTGGTCAACTTCAATGCCGCATTCGGATCACCCCATAACGGAACCACTACCCCTGGTCGCAGTTGGTCTCTCTACACAATCCCGCAATCGTTCGTGTTCACAACAGAACAGCAGGGAGAGGAGTAAGAGTGTGCGATTTTGATTTCCTCCCTCCCTTGTTGCTGCTGCCTAACCTGCCATTTTTGCTTTTAGGTCAGAGCTTTTGTTATTGAGACTTCCCGCCCCCTCAATAGCTTAGGTCTCGTGGCCTTGAACGTCCCTCCCTTTTCACGCGACCTTTTCGACCTCCAATGATTGTCAGCACTGAATGCTCCTCTTGCACGGATGGGTGATACTGCGTGGTTCGAGTTGGAATACACAGGAGGCTTCACCTTCGGGAACGAGTCTAGGAAACCGGCGAGACCGCTTTAGCACGAAACATCCATGAAGAATGACCTCACCCTCAAGCGCCGCTATTGACCATTCTGTCGACTCTTCCGCTGACCCTCCGCAATCTGGTTCTCAAGCTTCGGGGGATACGCAGTCATCGGCTGCAGCTACTCTTCCGAATGATGATCAGACGGACGACAGAGGGATTGGAGAAGGGGAAGTGAAGACGCCGGAAGGGAAGAAGCCTGCAGTGAACCCGACCCCGGAAGATAACAAAGCCGATGCAGATGTGTCAGAAGAGTTAGATGACTTCGGGCTTCCAATCCCAGTCCGGCCCAAGTCTGCACGTCGGTCAGAAGACAAATCACTAGGGGATAACGAAACGTTCCATTATGTTGAAGAGACGCGGATACCACCTAAGCGTGATACTACCTCCTCAGAGAATGATAAACCCGCTGCGTCTCACGACCTTTCCTGCGAGAATGACAGGCCAAGCACACCCCCACCGGCCTACTCTAGCTTAGATATCCACGATTCTGTCCCTCAGACCTCTCCAACACATAAGAGGCATTCGAGCCTCAAGCCGTCGGAATGGTCGCACCAGCGACTGAGCGAAAACAAAGAAGCCAATCCGGAAAGCGATGATGAAAGCGACGGCGAATGGAAAGAAATGCCCGCCCTAGGCGAATTCGATGTCTACGACGATTACGGGCGGTTGGTCGCTCGTGGCGCCAAAGAAGAGGGTGATGACGCAGTATATCAGGGCCTGGGTGGCGCTGGAAAGGGTTATACTCGAGTACAACTCGACGAAGACGCGCAGTCGGCGACAAGTTTGGATCAGGACACGAGCTATCTCTTCAAGGAAGCCGCCGGTAACTCTGTAGGAGTCGAAGGGGAAGAGCTGCGGGACCCGCTCAGCCAACTACAGGCTACAAAAGATCTTCTGACTGAGAGTCAAAGGATCGCCTATGTGGGAGTGACGCGGCTGGTGATCTACCAGATGACCCAGGACTTGGAAAAGCTACCAACGACTAAGGCTTCCTGCAAGGCGAAACAGAAAGCGGCCGACGCCATGAGGAAATGGGGTCAGACTGTCATGGGAAGGATTTATACTCACATGGAGATCGATCCTGCGGAGCAAATCATGATTGAACAATTGGCTGAGCACGGCGTTCAGCCTGCGGATCTTGTTCGACCACTGATGCAAAATGCTCGGGTCAAAAATCCAATGGCGGAGGAGCTCGACTCTTCGAAAGCGTCCATGTCCTCGAGTGCGTCTCGCGGCTTCAGGGAGAACAGTCGAGCAAGCTTATCCACGAAATCAGAGTTTACTTCTGAATCGACTTCTCCTCCACCTTACGAAACACACGACGATGACGACCTACCGGAAGTGCGGACCCCGTCACAGATGCCTACTTCAGCAAAGATTGACATTGACCTTCGTTGGACGGTCCTTTGCGACCTATTTCTCGTTCTTATCTCGGATTCGGCGTACGATGCCCGATCCCGATCCTTACTGGAAAGAGTCGGCCAGTCTATGGAAGTGTCCTGGTTGCAAATTGCCCGCTTCGAGAAGCGTGTCATTGATGCTCTCGAGATGCAAGAAGCCGCGGAGAAAGAGACTTGGGACGAGTCTGAACACATGGAGAAGCGTCGCAAGATGGCGCTGAAACGGAAATATATGGTCATGGGTCTGGCCACTGTTGGAGGAGGGTTGATCATCGGCCTCTCCGCTGGTCTGCTGGCCCCGGTCATCGGCGCTGGTCTTGCAGCGGGCTTCACAACCGTCGGAATTTCTGGGACCAGCGCTTTCTTAGGGGGAGCTGGTGGGACCGCCTTGATCGCTTCTGGCGCTACCTTGACAGGAAGTACTATCGGCTTAAGGGCTTCACACAGACGCACTGGAGCAGTACAGACTTTTGAGTATCGTCCTCTCCACAACAACAAGAGGGTCAACTTGATTGTTGCGATTTCAGGCTGGATGACTGGCAAAGTCGATGATGTTCGATTGCCATTCAGTACAGTTGATCCTATCATGGGCGACATTTATTCAGTCCTATGGGAGCCGGAGATGCTTCAGAGTATGGGTGCCACCATCAACATTCTAGCCACAGAGGTAAGCGTCTCCTGACCTGGCGTGGCTTTTGCTGTCATGAAGCTGACTGTATTCCCTATAGGCCTTGACTCAGGGTCTGCAACAGGTCTTAGGAAGTACTGTGCTCATGGCTTTAATGGCATCCCTGCAGCTACCTCTTGTTCTCACTAAGTTGTCATACTTGATCGATAATCCCTGGAATGTCTCCCTAGCTCGTGCCAACGCGGCAGGGCTGATTTTGGCGGACTCGTTGATGGATCATAACCTGGGCAAGAGACCTGTCACTCTACTAGGTTTCTCGCTTGGGGCAAGAGTCATATTCTCGTGTCTGAAGGAACTCGCAGACAAGGGCGCTAGCGGCTTGGTTCAAAATGTCTACCTTTTCGGGGCTCCACTCGTGGCAAACAAGGACGAATTTATCAAGGCACGCAGCGTTGTCTCTGGCCGATTTGTGAACGGGTACTCCTCCAATGACTGGATTCTGGGATACCTCTTCCGGGCCACAAGCGGCGGCATTATGCGCGTGGCTGGTATTGCTCCGGTAGAAGGCATTCCTGGCCTGGAGAACTTCGATGTCACTAACTTAGTCAATGGCCACATGGACTATCGTACCGCTATTCCACGGCTACTTAAGGAGGTCGGCTGGGAAGTTCTCAGTGAGGAGTTTGCTGAAATCGAAGACGCCGACCCGGAGAATCATGGCGAACGGCAACGAGAACTAATCCGTGAAATTGATGAGGCTCGTAAAGCCGCAGAAGCTCAACCAGAGAAGAAGCGGTTTGGACTGTTCAAGCGCGGCAAATTAGCTGAGAAAAAGGGATGGGAAACATACGACGTGAAACGCAGTGACTCGTTTCCGCGAGAATCCACTGACAGCAATGGAACTGGAACCGTCCTCTTCGATATCGATGCGATCAGGGCAGAACTCGCCTCGGAGATGATTGAGGTCAAGCAGCTGGAGTCTACGCTCCCACCCATGAAATTAGATCTCAATTCACCATCAACTCAATCGCCAGCTGCTGCTACACCGTCAGAGGACAGAGCTTCCAAAGACGAACGCGCCACCCCATCCGTTCCTGAGACACCCGTGGAAAGTTCCCCAGGCCACTCGGCCTCTCAAAAGACGCAATCTCCACCACCGCGTCAGGAGCAAATCAATATGACTTTTGATACATCTTACGATAACCCCATGCAACGTTCTCATTCTTCTTTTGAACCAGCCGCTTACGATTCACATCCGACGAGACCAGGTTTACGATCCTCTGTGACGATGCCGACTAGTGTTGGTGCCAGCGCGCTTGGCGCTATGGCTCTTGAGCCCAATGCCTGGGCTGATCACGACTTTGACCACGGCGACGAGGGTGAGATCTCGATGACTTTCGAGTGATTATCCACTTGGTTTCGTACGGGCTTATATATTACTACTGCGAGTGTGTATAGAGCTTTCCTCGCTTGTTCCATTTTCATCAGCTCCTCTACGTAACGAGTGATGAAACAACGAGTGAATGTTGTGTGATCATTCTATTCTGACTTTGCATTTGCTGCCTCCTTATGTCTGTTAATTATTTCAGCCTCTTTCTTTTCAAGATCTCGATATAGATTTTGTCCAATGACATCGACTATATCGAAAACTGTCAGACCACTCATGTATTACTTGCTGGAAGTTAGCGCATAGCACCGTGGGTTAGTCTACGATCTGTTACCTTGTATATTTAGACTAAACATGTGATCGTCACTGTTTCACAGCACCATTAGGCTTCGATCCTGATCATTTGGGCAGCTTGCTCTTAGGTTGAAGTATACTGTTGAATTGTGCATATCTTAGGTTGCTTCTCCTCGATCGCCAAACGTATCGGGCAAAGTGGAGAAAGCGCCACGATAAGAGATCTTAAGCGTGTCACCAAATGGACGCGTTCCGCTCCCGTCCCCGAATTCAATACGATGGTCGGATTATCTGCCTTTGTCACTCTCTATTGCTGCTGATTCCTCATTCTGAATACAAAGAGGCTGGAAGCTGAGGAATAATTTGACTCTTTCAAACAAGTTGTTTTTTTAATTGGAGGAACTCTGCGGGGTTCATGCGGCGGGTGACAGCAGCACACTGGACGCAATAATCGTCGCTTTATACCTGAGTCTCTACAGTGACGTGACCACCTTGCTGCTGTCGAAGCGCAGGTGGCTTTACGAGTGGCTGTATTTCGACTTCTAGCTGCTATTGCGCAATTGCGACCTGACTATCACCATGGTCACTCCTACGTCTAAACCGAATTCGAGCTTCTCGAAGGTATATTTGACCAAGAATAATTACTCGGGGCGGTCTCTTCACCCAAACGCCAAGCGACCTGGAAAGAGTGCTGAGGATTCAAATCAGGAAGAAGACACCCGGAATGTTGAGGGTTTTAAGGCGGGTTGGGATGAGCGGATAGTGAACAATGAGGACATAACTGCTGAACCCGCCAGTTCTCCGGTCAGTTCTCTCGAGGACCAAGATAATGAGATTCCGCCCGGTTTTGAGGATTTTGACAGCGCAGTTGGAGAAAGGAGGAGGTCACAACGCGGGAAGAAAGACTTACGCGGTTCCGAGTCTCCTACGTTCAGCCGCAAGAGGAATGCCGATGACATGGCGCACATATCTCAGACTGATGCGGAGAAGGAAGATTATGTATTCGGCTGGTCACAAAGTCAGAAGAAGCGCAAACAAGGTTACTCTGGAAGGAGAAGCGAAGGCTCTTTGTGGAAGGTGCAAGGCTCTACGACCACCCCCTCTCTGTCAAAGTCATCGCCTTCCTCAAGTGCTTCAGAGTCAAAAGCGGGTCGCAGCTCACAGAAAACCAAAAGCAAATCCAAGAATCAGGCTGCCGACAAGGCTCCAAGCTTTATGGTCCCGCCAGATATCGACGACCTTCTACCTTCATCATCTGGAACTCACACGAAGCCCGAGTTCATTGTCCCGGCGTCCCTTCCTAACGATACGATATCTAGCTCTTCTGGATTCGCATCATCCGCTCAAATATCCCACTTCTTTGATTCTGACGACGACTGTTCAAGTGGCACATCGCTCAGTTCAGTGCCAGAAAACTTGCTGGAAGAATTCTCGCAGATGGAGGATGTCTTGCTCTCTGACATGGACGACTCAGAAAATGCCGAGTTGAAACCGTCGTTGTGTCCCTGGTGCAAGAAGGCTGTCGATTCAGATGCTCTGAGGAAGTTTCGGGCGCAACCAAAACAGCGGATTCGCGAGCAACAGCAATTCTGCGAGTCGCATCAAACGGAGACGGCGGAAAAAGAATGGAAAGAGAGAGGCTATCCAGACATTGATTGGGATACTTTCGATGAGCGCATCAAGTGTCATTTCGACGATCTGGACAGTATCTTAGTACCTGAAGGCAATTCATACTACAGAAATGTTCTTGATACTATGTTGAAATCGGGAAAGGCAAAGAACTTCCGCCTAACACTCGCCGGAGACGCCCTAGAGACGATCTGTTGCGGTTATTACGGGACTCGAGGGGCCAACAAAATGTACAGTCTCATAGTTTCCCTCCTCTCTTTCAAATGTTGTCCTGTCATTAACCGATTCTCTTGACAGGCTACAAGCTCTTACGGCGCGTTTCTCCCGCAAACTCCGCCGTTTGGCAGCTGAGGACCACATCGTCAAGACAGCTGGACCTGTTATCTACGCTCAGGCAGTCCTCGTACCTGAACTGGCCGTCAGGCTTGTCAAAGAAGATATGGGAGTAGATGTTGACTCGGCACGACAAATCCTGCGAGAGAGCATTGAGATTGGCGAGAAGCTGAACTTCGCCCCGAACGATGTGGTCCCGATCCCGGGTGAATCGGACAATGCTGATGCGATCATTGTCTAAAGGCATAATGCCCACGCCATATCGAGCTTCTCATTTCGCATACTTATCAGCTACTGTATATAAAAAGATTTTTCGGCTTGATACCATTGTTGCTCTTGCTTGTTGTTTGTGACGAATGGCATATCGAAGGGTATCAGTGTGCGAGACGGCGGCTCATGTTGAAATGTATTCTTAGTGTGATTCTCGGCTGGAATGAGCATACGGATGGCCCCTTTTGATTGTTTGACGATGTTACATGAGCCAAAGAAATGGTGTCACTTTGACGCCTCTTGTTATTATCTGTCCTTTTTCGGAAGGTCGGTTTGTTTAGGAAGGTCGATAAGCTCTCCAAATCCACCGATAAGAGTAGAGCAGTTCGGACCCACAATTACGTGGATAGCTCAAGCGGAGGGTACCCACTCATGATGTGTAACTCCTCTCTTCCCCCCTCATCTTGCGAGGATCGACTCATGCTTCTACCAAACTGCCATGGCACCTTCTTAAACTAATGGTACTGCATGTCGAACACTTTCTGATTTCTACAGCTGCTGTACATGAACTTTTGAGCTCTCAGTCACAAGATGAGGGAGAAAGCCATGGCTCCCTCAGAGACTACTCCGCTCCTTGTCGTTAGCGTCGCTCCGCAGCGATATCGATACCCCCATCATACCTTGCGACGGGCATGCAGCTTCTCCTTGAGCCTGATTCTTTTTGTTGGCTTAATTCTGTTCTTAATTCCGTTTTCCATCCTGCCCCGCGAGCACGGCTCTCTCTGGTCGTATCTCCCCGGTGCCAACCCGTTCCCATACCCGTCATGGCCCAACAGTCCCGGCCTCACGTATGAGCAGCTGCAGGCTGTTCTTCAGAGCACACCGTCAGCCGCTAAGGCCCGTGAATGGAGTAGTTATTACACGGCAGGTCCGCACCTAGCAGGCAAAAACCTCAGCCAAGCCCTCTGGACCCGTGAGAAGTGGCAAGAGTTCGGTGTGGTGGACACGGAAATCGTCGCTTATGATGTCTACCTCAACTATCCTGTAGATCATCGTCTGGCTCTGCTGAAGAAGGACGGCGATAAAACCGATGTCACCTTTGAAGCTTCTCTTGAAGAGGATGTCCTTGAAGAGGATCACACGAGCGGTCTTCCCGATCGCGTGCCTACTTTCCACGGTTACTCTGCCAGCGGGAACGTTACCGCTCCTTTCGTCTATGTCAATTTCGGGACGTACAATGATTACCAGGACCTTGTCGATGCCAATGTCAGTTTGGCGGGCAAAATTGCTATTGCAAAGTATGGTCGCATCTTTCGTGGGCTGAAAGTGAAGCGGGCACAGGAGTTGGGTATGGTCGGTGTGATATTGTATGATGATCCCCAGGAAGATGGAGATATCACGGAGGACAACGGCCACAAACCGTACCCTGAGGGACCTGCTCGGAACCCCAGCGCCGTGCAGAGAGGAAGTGCGCAATTTTTAAGTATGTCTCTTTCACCTTCGGTCCTCAAGTCTTAACTGATACTGACCATTCTGCGGTAAGGCATCGCTCCCGGTGATCCCACGACTCCCGGTTATCCGTCCAAGCCCGGCTGTGAAAGACAAGATCCCCATAACTCAATCCCGTCTATTCCTTCCCTACCCGTCTCCTATCAGGAAGTGCTCCCTTTCCTAAAAGCGCTCAATGGACATGGTCCGAAGGCATCTGATTTCAACAAATGGTGGCAAGGTGGGAAGCTCGGCTCGAAGGGTGTAGAATATAACATTGGGCCTTCTCCAGATGACGTTGTCATCAACCTGTACAATGAGCAGGAGTATATTACGACTCCGCTATGGAATGTCATTGGCACTATCAAGGGGGCCATTCCGGATGAAGTCGTGATCTTGGGCAATCATCGTGACGCCTGGATTGCCGGTGGAGCCGGGGATCCGAACAGTGGATCCGCTGTGCTCAACGAAGTCATTCGCAGTTTCGGTGAGGCTCTGAAGGCAGGATGGAAGCCACTGCGCACTATTGTCTTTGCTAGCTGGGATGGTGAAGAGTATGGATTGCTTGGGTCTACTGAGTGGGTGGAGGAGATGCTTCCGTGGTTGTCGAAGACTACGGTTGCTTACCTTAATGTTGATGTCGCCGCGGCCGGGACCAAATTGCGCCCCACGGCTAGTCCGCTTCTCAACAATGTCATCTACGAGGTGACCGGATTGGTCCAGTCTCCCAACCAGACAGTGGAAGGCCAGACAGTGCGGGATACCTGGGATGGCCGAATTGGTACCATGGGAAGTGGTAGCGACTTCACTGCGTTCCAGGATTTTGCAGGCATCCCAAGTTACGATCTGGGTTTCAACCGTGGTCCCAAAGACCCTGTATATCACTATCACTCGAACTACGATAGTTTCGACTGGATGGATCGATTCGGTGACCCTGATTGGCTGTACCACGAAGCATGCACTAAGATCTGGGCTCTGGCTGCGGCTAAACTGGTGGAGACTCCTGTGCTTGCCTTTAACGCTACCGACTATGCTATGGGCCTCAGCTCATACTTGGATAAGATTCGGCCGGCGGCGGAGCGGCTACCTGGTCATTCATCGTTCGACTTTGGGCCACTGGACAAAGCAATCGCACGGCTTCAGAAAGTTGCTACGAAATTCGACGCCGAAGCCGCAGAGCTGACCTCGCAATTGGACGAGAATCTCCCATGGTGGCTCTGGTGGAAGAAGGTCAGACTGTACTTCCTGATCCGGGGGGTCAATGACAAGTACAAGGTCATTGAGCGCAAGTTCCTGTACCAGCCTGGCTTGGATGGGAGAAATTGGTACAAGCACGTAGTGTTTGCGCCTGGTATCTGGACTGGTTACGCTGGCGCGACATATCCCGGACTGGTGGAAAGTCTGGAGGCGGGAGATTTGGAAAATGCAGAGGTTAGTCATCTCACTTTTCGCACTTTTTGCACCATCTTGCTCGTTCTTTTTTGCTAACGCTATGATGTACAGAAATGGCGGGATATTATCCGTGAGCGAATCGAAGATGCCACGGACCTGCTGCAATGAGCTTTGAAATTCCGGTTGCTATACTCCGTATAGAGATTGTGACACTTTTTTTCACGTTTACAGGCAGGTCTAGTGATCCAAAAAGTTGTGCACAACTTCTGTACCCACTGAACTCAAGTTCCCCTGGGGTTTTCAGCCTATCAGCCAAGAATCCATCGATGCGGTACGAAGTATTTGAATTGTTGATTTTCTATAAAATGCTTGGCCATATCTTATCCGAGAATTGTGTTTCATAACCCCTGTAATTCATGTCTACTTGTTTTGTTTTGTTTTTTTTTTAATCCAAAGCCCACGTATAAGCGACATAAGCACAGACCGGAAAAGATTCCGCATGTCACTGTGACCCTGGAGAATCCACAGGAGCACCTATCATGAGTTCTCGCCGATCGACAGTAGAATAATTGAGTCATAATCGAGGAGCAACTGACCTGGTGCATGCATTTGAAGGCGCAGTCACAAGCGGTCAAACTCCGAATCGCCAATGGATCTATCATTACCTCTGGTATTATTCTTCGTTATCAACCGCTACTACTCCATACTCCGTATGCTGTGGGGATCCAATGCATCATTCATGATCCATCAGCGTTGTGCCGCGGGCTAGGCCGACTAGCAGTCTGTCCTTCAAAAGAAACACTGCATCTCATTCGATTCTGATTTTTGTAGGATCCGCACTTCCCCACTCGTGATGCTGACAAAAAGTAAAAAAGTGAGGCCCTCGACAATAATCGACCCAAACAAGGAACTCAAAGCAGTGCAGCGGTGCACAGACTCGACCGTTGTTTTTCTCCTTCTCCAGTTCTGTTTCTTTGATTCTCTTCTCTCTTGTGCTTGACTGGTTCACTATCTTCAACCATTGATAGACCCCAGGTTACTTCTCTTCCATGACTTTGACACAAGGCTCGCTTTCCCTCGGTTACTTGCTTCTTGTCGATCTGTATAATAGCCGATAGTCCACCTTACCAGGTAGGCTGTTGACCAGGATACTATCACAGCTTCCAGATGCACAAGAAATCTCCCAGACTGCCGGTGCGGCAGCTGCTGATTCTATGTAAGTATTGTCAAACTGGAGATAAGTATTCTATCCGCAGACTGACTTCTTGAACCAAGCAATATGTAGATTTGCCGAGCCAGGTACGTCCAAGCCCACTCAAGAGTGCAACATTGGGATACAAATCTCTCAATTCATAGACCGATTTCGGACTTCAGCCTATACTGAACTCTTTCCCCTTGCTAAACAGTTGTTTTCACTTCCGCTTTACCATATCTCGTATGCAAACTGCCCGCCTGCTGAGTCGCCACAACCAAGCTAACCACCGTTCACCCGCAGCCCGAAATGATCGAGGACATTGGCGTCCCCAAAAATGAAGTTGCAAAATGGGTCGGGATCACCTCGGCCGCGTCAGCCAGCTGCCAGGCCGCCATGGCGGTGACCTGGGGAACCGTCTCGGACACCGTCGGTCGCAAGCCCATCGTCCTGTGCGGCCTGACCTTCACCATGATTTTCTCGATTATGTTCGGCCTGTCAAAAACTCTGGCGATGCTGGTCGCTTCCCGCGCACTGCTGGGTCTCATGAACGGGAACGTCGGGATCATCCGCACCATGGTAGCGGAGATGGTTCCAGAGAAGGAGTTGCAGCCGCGTGCTTTCAGCATTATGCCGCTGGTTTGGACCATTGGGAGTATCTTTGGGCCAGCCTTTGGCGGTGCGCTGGCGCGCCCGGCGGAGAAGCATCCGGGGATTTTCAGGAATTGGAAGCTTTTCAAGGCCTATCCTTTTCTGTTGCCTAATCTGGCGTCGGTTTTTCTGTTCGTTATTGGAATTACGACGGGGTGGCTCTTTTTGCATGTAAGTGCGACTCAAGTTACAGGAAATTAGTGAGTATACGTGCTAATGGCGGACAGGAAACTCTGGCAGCCAAGAAGCATCACCGCGATGTAGGCTTGCGGCTGGGTCAGATGTTGACAGGCTCCTGCAGCTCTCGC